ATGTACAGCATGCAATCAGAATACAATCCCTAAAGCATGTACCACTACCACAACTACATCATTATGATAATCACAGTGTTGGATCCGTAAGGGCTAATTACTTAAATGTACCTCTGGAAAAAAGGCTGCAGAAGAACTGAGAGCAGTGTCGGGCTGCGTTTTATACAAGTACCACCTGAACCAGGACACATGTGCGTACTGCTGCAGATGAACGGGGGCTGGCCGTGTGTTTGGCATGAAGTATGAGGTAAGTTCCTCTGTGTCTCTCCCTCTCTTTGTCCCCTTACCCTCATGGGAGGCCCTGTTGATTTAGCTGCTAAGCTTTCCCCGGAAACACAAATGATGGGCAGATAGAGAGGTTAAAATAGAGAAAGAGAGGAAGAGAAACTGAAAGAAGGGACTAAAAACTGTTTAACTTAAAAAAAAAAAGTATATATGTGGACCATTGTCTCTGAGATAGCTGTCATGCTTCCCTCATAGTATCCCTCAGTGTGTTCTCTGCTCAACAAACATCCTAATTTTTGCAGAACTGTGATGTAATTAAGTAAAGTATGAAAACTCTTGTTTGTGAGCCTTGAGCTATTTCCATTAGTCAGCATGTCTGTTTGCCTTAAAGATTTTTGTTACTGTTCAGATCAGATTTATGAAGACACTATTAACTCACTGATTCCTCACTGAGACACTGTTAAGACCCAGAGAGACTCCAGATTTACAAGTTTAGCTTTTAAGGAGCATCGAGAAATGCTAATTATGCATTTCTCTGCTCGCTGGATTTAAACAGGTTGGAGAAGAAAACAAAATATCCAAAGATTTTCAGTCTAATTATGACAGACAAGGGGGGGGGGCTAATAGAACAAAAACAACTGTGTGAGATCGACATTAGCAACCCAAGGTAGTGTTTATGACCAGTGTTGGAAGTTTGAGCCGTTCAAAAAGCTTTTCCCTCAGAACAATGATAGTGAGAGCAGTTATTCAAATGTCAGTGGCACATCCAAAAGAGTTCAGAAGTGAGTATATGTTGTTGTAAGTAAAGATGCACCAGCTTTTATTTATCATGAATGGCAATTAGCATGTTATGACTACAGTTGACTCGATCAAGGACTGTCAGGCACCAGTTGATAATAATAATAATAATAATAATAATCATCATCATCATCATCATCATCATCATCATAATAATAAATTGCATTTTATTTGTGTGTGGTGCTTTTAACAATTACATTAACAGAAAGCAGATAAAGTAAAATACCTATAAATATATACATCACAATCACACATTGAAATATAAGATACACATCATAATCAAAGATTAAAAGCAGTTCTGACAAGGAAGGTCTTGGACAGTGGACAGTTCAGGTGTTTATTAGAAAAGTAAAACCTTTCTGTCAAAGAGCTTTTCTTAAATGATGATATGATGACAGCCATAAGGTGGGTTCTGGTTTAATATTAAACTTACAGGAGCCTGATGTAAAGATGCAGTTTGATGATATTCATTATTTTTTGTTATATTGAGCTGTTGTGTGGCATATTTAATCCTCTTAACATTCATTGACCCATGAATTCTGTGTAATCTTGATTACCAGCAAATAAACAACAGTGGTGACAAAATAACCTCCTTGGTAATTAGGACAAAGTCAAGACTTCTCAGAGTCAAGTTTAAGTCACAGGTTTATGGTCCTGAGCATTTACCAAATTAAAAGAACATTTGATTTGTATGCACCTGTTTGAACCTAAATTAAATTCCCAAGAAAACCTCTTTGATTGCCTGGATCCTTTCATTGTAGTCAGTTATCATAAAATCAAGTGAAAGTGATCATAATTTACTACAATGATCTATGGGGTTAAATAGGTTAACTTGTGAATGTTAGAACTTTAGAGAAAGTTGAATATTAATAACACTTTATAATTTCACCAGTTACCAATAGTTCATAATAGGTGACAGTGAAGGTCTTTCCACTGCATTACAGGCTCAGTTCCATTGCAGCAAGTGTCCACTATGAGGCAATAGAGAGTCTACTGTCCAACTTGGCCCAATACAACCATGTAGACTTTGGGATGAATTATATCTGATGAAAAATATCTGATGTGTGTGTATGAGGTTTGTCTCTGTGTGTGTGTGTGTGTGTGTGTGTGTGTGTGTGTGTGTGTGTGTGTGTGTGTGTGTGTGTGTGTGTGTGTGTGTGTGTGGAGAAGAAAAAAGGGATAAAACAAAAGAAACTGAATAAAACAGACAGACAAAGATAAAACAGAGAGAAATAGACAAAGAAATAGAGAGAGAGAGTGAACATGCCTGTGAACCATGAGAGAGGGATATGGGGGGAGAGAGAAAGAGAGGAGGGGATTGTTTCAAACAGGGATTTGCAGCAGAGGGGAAAGAAAGAAAGGGGGCAGTGGCACTCAGTGACAGAGTGCTATACACACTCACATGCGCTCACACACTCTGTTTCCTGTGTGTCTCTCTCCCATCGTGTCAGTCAACCCGTCAGTTGATTATTTTTGTGGGCGCATGTGTGTTTGGTGGGGATGTTGAAAAGAGCTTGTAACCATCCTTCCTCTCTATGAACGACGGTAAGTTCATTTCATTCTGTCTCATCTCTCATGTCAGGCCTCGGCCGGCCTTCATTCCACTTTTTTCTCCTCAATGCGTGTGTGTGTGTGTGTGTTGTCACTATTTTTCTGGCTGGCTTTTTGCCGTGACTTTGGTCTGTAGCCAGACTGAGGCCTCCATGCAGCTCTGTCACTGTTTCCTTTCTTTAACAATCCATTTTGAACCACAGGGGGCAAAACTAATGAGCTGTGCACCAGAGGCACCAGTCAAAGGTGGATTTTTAATTAGATGTTGATTTTGATAACAATGATGCTTATAGGTGAAGGCCCATAATTAGTCTTGTTGTCTTCTACCTCTTTCTATGATGTATAGTAGCATGTTAATAATACATTTCATTGAGGCTCTGAGGGGATTCAGTTGTTCAGCTATGTGTAAATGGTCTCGCTTAGAATCATGTTTCAAATAAACATGTAAACTATTCATTTCTTTACTGCTACATAACTTATTATGAGATTTCCTTCTTGAATCTGAGTAGAAATTATCAAAAAGAACCAGCTTCAATATGTTGGTGTGTAACATTTAAGGTTAACATCAGCTTTCTCTCTTCTCGCTGTATGAAAACGATTCCTTTTAGAAAGTTCCTGGATTAAAGTGTGAACCTGCTGATAACTGGATTTGGTCTCTGAGACTTGTGGATGTTCCTGTCAAAAATAATTAAGCCCTTTGAGTTCCTCAGCTCCAGTAGGTGATGTTCAGTGGGCAGATCTTTCTAGAAATATAACGTTTTATCCACTGTGTGTGTGTGTGTGTGTGTGTGTGTGTGT